ATGCTCCAGCAGCGCTGACACAGAAGAAGTATCACCATATTTCTTTAGATATGGTGGCCCTGGTATTCTGTCATTACTACTTAGAATGTTTTCCCTGTCCTTTGGATCTTTCACATACTCTGATATCTGAAAAACATCATCTATCCTCCCCGGATATAAATCCGGTTCAAAAACACTGGCCAGTAACTACAGACCATTAAATATTACACCCGTAGTTTCCAGAAATATGGGGAAAGTTATTAAGGAGAGCTTTCTTCAGCACATGCTTAGCGGCAGCGTCATTACGTCTAGCCGACATGGGTTCCCAAAATAGAGGTCCTGTATAAATTGCCATCCTGACTTCTTCAACTTCATAACCACTTGGCGCAACTGGCACCAATTAGTCCTTGTGCTCCATCTAGATATTTCAAAGGCGTTTGATACAGTTGATCACTTGCTGTCAATAAGTAAGCTGATGTCTATGGGGGTTGACTATCTACTATTGAGATGGATCGAGTATTCTCTCAGTCATCGCACTCAAATGGTGAAGATAGGTTCACACACTCCAAAACCTAGGCCGGTCACCCCCCGGCGTAGTGCAATGCAGTGTATTAGGTCTTCTTCCCTTCTCAATGACATCTGCGGCTGCTTTACACACGGTAAACCATTCTTGCCAGCTGATGACATAACAGTTGCATACACGTTCACCCATAATGACTCACCTTACTTCCAAACATCAGTGCAAAGCGAGCTTGATATAATATCCCCATGGTCTAGTCCTCCGAGACTTCAGTTCAATATAAGCAAACGTGGTTAAGTACGTTTTGATGCTCCATCGGTAGACACCCAACCACATCTTCAGTCTATGAAACTACCTGTTCTCAAAAATGTCTGCGACCTTGGGCTAAGATATTCAAGGGACCCCACATTCTCTGAACGAGTGGCATCATAGACTCGTAAATCTAGGATCCTGATGGGTGGCATAGTTCGTAACTTTCACCTCAAAGAATTCTAGTTACTGCTCTATAAAACTTGCATGCGTCCACCATTTGAATATTGTCCGTTTATATTGAGTGATATCTGCGTTAAAGACAGACCAAAAGTAGAGGGTGTCCAAAGGTATCTTATGGCCAGGTTACCAAGATACGATCGCAAACAGGACTACTACTCCAGATGCAGACCCCTTATTCTAGAACCACTCTGGATGAAGCAACTGAAAATTAACCTGACACTTCTTCAATGTGCTACACGAATTCCTTTTTACAACTAGCGGTGAGTTTCAGTTCAAACACAACAGTTGTTACGATCCGTCCAACCATGCTCACAGCGTCACAATGAACCCGTTCTATCCTGTTTGTGTGCAAATTTCTTCACCATCAAATTCGCTCAGGTGTGGAACAGGCCTCCTACTGAAGTGAAGGCCTCCAAACCAGCCTTTGAATCTAGTCAGTTGCTGGTTAACTTCTTATCATCTGGGAACTTTTCTGGCACACTGGGCACACCAACACTACCCCTCGAAACACTTCGCAAACTGGCCCCCTTTAGTGTATAATGAGACATCCACCACACATGCGCTGGTCCTTCATACAAAACGTTGAGGACACCCTCGCAAGTTATCACCTCAGACTGACGGCACGTTCTGCCCTACCTGATATAGGAAGGATGAACAGAAGTTCTACACCACACGATAGAGAAAGCGCATACAATGAATGCCATAGCAAAGGAAGTTAAATGAGGAGAAACATGAAGACAGGAAACACTCCTTGTGGGATTCTCGCTTCTTTCTCTGCCCGCTTCGTTTATGTTCTTTTCTAGTCATGGAAAAGAGATTCAATTCCAGATTTTGACTCATTCATCACAGAGAACTAATTATTTAAGGAACAGACCTTACATGAAACTAGCCTTCACTGAGGGTAGCAGGCGTTGCTATCTTCACGACCTCTAACTACACGAAAGAGAAATGAAGAACGCTCTTTGAACTACAACTCTTTATTTATTGAAACCTAGAGTTTATTCGGTTTGGAGGTGACCAGGGAAGTCCAACACCTACCAACCACAAGGCTGCCACAACCGTGAAAACGGCGAACAAGATGTCCCGGAAGTCCACTTGACTCATTCAGACAAGTTCATTGCTTCTGAATGCTGGAGTCGGGAGATGGAGATATAATAAAAATAATATATTTGTCTCTCAGTCGTAATATCTAGCAAGATCTTGAATATCCGATGTGGAATGGCATCAACATACATGAATTATGCACTTCTAGAATCATCAATGTCGTAAAATGAAGAAACTTCTCGTGCATGCATTCGCTCATAAACTTTTCATCACCATCCAAGCAAAAGTACAAAGTGTCACAGCGGAGGTATTAGCTTCAAGACTAACTTTTCTCCGGGCAATGCTTTTAATGTCGAGATACGAACCTGGTGTTTTTGCTGATGCGGTGACAATGCTTCCACTCGTCCAGCTTGTAAATTTCTGTATACTTATTCATCTGGGATGTTCCACCACATAAGAATGTAGCACTGTCTTCTAGTGACAAATAGGTGGGGTTTGAGATTACCTGCCATGAAGATACGTGTAATTTACACGGTAACTTATTCATGCCTGTGAAAATGGCGTGTGCATTTACATTCAGAAATAAATATTATTAAGACGGACAAACTAGACACCGGTTCCAATTACCCTAACGACGCCTCAGAAGCATGTGGCGTACTGCGTTTGTGCGGAGATAACTAGGTGCCCTCACCCCACAGCTCTTTCTGAGGTTCTACCTAACTCACGTACGACCCCACCTGGAGGTCCAAAACGTCTTCGCTCCCCATAACTGAAAAGGGGCACGAAACTACCGGAGAAATTTCGGAGGCGAGCCACAAAAGGGGCTGTTGGGGTGCAACAAGAACCATATGAGGATCCAATTAAAGATCTAGGCCTACACCTTTGTAGCTACCGAAGGTTACGAGGTGGCCTGACAATGGCTTACAGAGTACTGGGCAACCCAGGCCACCCGAAGGGAGGGTCACTGCCGAGTGGCCACTATGGTGATCCCCGTGGAAACCGTAGGAGAATTGTCCACCAGAGTTGAAAAGCTCATGTGCGATCACACTTCTCCGGAGTCTCTGGGCGTTGGTACGCGTTACCAGCGGAAGCAGTCTCCACCCGATCCATCGAAAGCCTCAAGTAATGGCTAGACAGCTACGCAGAGACCCACGGCCTACGCACATATAGCTGGAACACGAACTAAACAGAAGAAATCAACCGATTTCACGCCAATCCAACTATGTTACCTCTACACTAGGTTTTTTCTACTGCATCCACTGAATCCCTTTTCATCCCTTCCACTTGTCATGAGTTAGCCTCACCTGCCCAAGTTCTTCATATTTCTGCACCCTACTCGCCGTACTTGGGTGTAAGAAGATTACTCCTTTCGTTCACGTTTCTTTTCCCCTTTACTCACAAATTTGCCTTTCTAGGCTCTAACTTCACTATCCATAACTCTCTCTAACTACCAGTTCGAACAACTGTCTGGCAGCTAGACATCTGAAGAAGCTAACTCCACCACAGTCTAAGGCCAACTAACCAGTGCCTAACCTCTTGTTCTGTGTACCAGACGAGTGGCCGAATCTGCTGCACCGGAATCCTCCAAGGCCCTGGAACCGTTTCTCAAGACCAATAAGCGAGCCAGAAGAAATCAACTGGTTTTACACAAGCCAGATATTGGATATTGGAATAGGGGTTTTGAAGGTATTGATGCCATAATCAGCCCAGTTTTTAATACCGGTAGTCGCCATTTGGTGTTTAACTATCCTCCTGTGAGTATAACAAGCATACTTGTCGAGATTTTGGGGAAAATAGTTCGTGACAAGGTAAGTAAACACGTTGAATCAACCAATGTTTTGGCACCACAGCAACACAGTTTTCGTACTAGACACTCTTGTCCAACTAACCTTCTTAATGCAAGAGAGGAATGGGTTGTAGCGCGTGATTGCAAGCCGCCAACAGGTGCCGTGTTTATAGACTTCAGTAGGGCGTTCGACAGTGTCGCACGTGAAGTTACTAGGAAAGCTCTCCTACTTCGGGTTTGATGCTTTATTGCAAGCCTGGATTAAGGACTTTTGTACGACAGAGGGCAAAGAGTTAGGGTAAATGAGGTACTATCCGGGTGGGAACGTGTGATGAGTGGGGCTCCCCAAGGAGCAATCCGAGGTCCACTACTTTTCCCGTTATATATCAACGAATTGCCAGAAATGCTCAGCTCTCCAGTGCTGTCATTCGCCTATGATGTAAAGATTTGGAGAGCCATACTCAATGATGCAGACAGATATGCACTTCAGGCGGGTTAAGATGAACTAGTAGGTTGGTCAAAACGTTGGTGCCTGGACATCAATTCTAATAATGGTGCAGTAGTGCACATTGGTTAAAGCAATTGTTTCCAGTAGTCCGCTGAAGGCACACAACATCTCCCAGTTTTTGAACTAAAAGACTTGGGTGTCATCATTAATCATGATTTGAAAACCTTGGCAAACTGTAATGCAGCTGCGGCAGAGGGCTTCCGCTTATTATGCTCCCTCCTCAGAGCTTTCAGATATTTTGATCAGGACATGTTCAGAATACTCTGTTCTACTTACATAGGACCTCACTTGAGTAGGGTAGGTACTAAGCTTGTGGCAGGCCCTTCGAATCTGTCCTATGAGGAACGGCTAGGTCAGCCAAACTTATTGCCACTGTCTTACCGTGGGAAACGAAGTGATCGCATACTGGCATTTAGTATTCTTAGTAATGACTTTGGTAATGGTATTTCGTATCTTTTCACTCCTGCTACGACTGACTCTTTCCGAGGGCATAACAAGAAAATTCTAAAACCGCGGTCAAGTCAACTTAGCGTGAATCTGCTCTTCTTCCATCGTGTTATTAACGACTGGAACTCCTTATCTCAGCAATTAGTATCAGCACTGACTTACTATCCTTATAACTGAAACTGAAGGTTACTAAGAGTACTAGTTTTAACCCGAAGGTCACAGGCATGTCATCGCATAGACCTTGGGTTTCTTGTTACTTTCCCCCTTTAGGAGTTAATGTGTTGGCTAGTAAAAGTTCAGGCGTGCGAGTTTATGATGCACAAACTGGAATTCTTAATAAGGAAACACTGTTAGTTACGTGTTCAACAAATCAGCGTAAGTACCAACAGTTTAATCGCAATTATTTTTACCAGTAGATGCTCGTATATCTATTCGTTACTTTTCTCCTAACGAGCGTCTTGTTATAGCCAAAGGAACAGAATTTAATGCCAGGAGGCACTTCAACGAATCAATATTACTTCATGGTTTTCTTAATAAGCCTGTGCAAATCGAAGCCGAGAAAGTTGTTCTTGAGTTTGACTCATACCAGGGTCTATTCTGGAATTACTTCTTCCATGTGCAATTAAATCGTCTAATGTGTATGAAGAAGTGACTTTGGAGGTCATCAAGAGCTCAAATCCAAAGGTATTTAAGCTCTGACATTTTTATATATCTTAGTGGAAAACGTTCACTATCACGGGGAGCCATGATTGTCTATGCAGTTTGGTTGATTATATGCTATACAGCAGTCCTGAAGAGAGTATGATTTCAAACTCTTCATTGTTTAAAGCAATACTTTATCGTCTCAAACGGACTGTGATGGGTAGCGATAGTATTTTATCTTATACAGCAATGAGAGACCTATTAGCTATGCAGAATGAGGCTCATAGACGCCTTACATTTACTCATTGGCCACATATGGATTATCAGTAAGTCAGGTTACTATTGCTAACATTTAACACATTGAGTTACAATTCATATCCCCTTGAGTTTCAGGTTATATTGATGGGTTGGGCTTATGATGCGGTTGTTTAAACGTAAGTTAGAAAACCAATGTGGTCTTCCGTTTAGTTCTTCAAGTGATCTCGACCCAGTAACTGGCCAAATGACGTCGAATAACAAATTACCATGGAGGGGCATTCACTAATCTCAGAAAAGGTTTTAAAAGCAACTCAAATGAAGATTTGCACGTAGTATTACTAAAAGTACGAAAAACTAAGTATTAACGCATGATAGTTTTCACGAATATCTTGCATAAAACCCGCAGTTTCCGATAGGAACATCAGTGAAAAGTTTAATTTTTTGCGATACATATAGTCATAGAAGTGATATGTTTACCTACCGAATTCTGCTTTAAGGTGGCTCCAAAAACCTTTGAGACTTATACACCTCGGGGACCGAATTCACTAATTCCAAATAGTGATTATAGAATTATGAACAAAGCCCAACAATGAAAACAGTATGTGAAAGTTATTTGTTGTTGTTCATGTGATCGTCAAACTCTCGCTAACGCTGATTGGCCGTTCAAGATCATTTCGTTAGTCGTTGGTTTGAGGTCGCTATTCTTTATCTTTTCCAGCAGGTTTTCTCACCTGAATACGACCAGGGTTGTGTAATTTTGATCATTGTTGCCGATGGATCACTCTTTTGCGCGGAAAGTTCAAAACAAGCGAAGAATGCATTTAAATGTATAGTACCAAGTCAAATCTAACAATGAACTTATGTAACCGATTTATATCCTACGTAGACAGCTAGCTCACCAAACAGGTTATCGTTCGCATGCAACTTGGTATAGAGAAATTGATGTCTCAATGTAATTGATTTTTGCGATGAAAAGTATTTGGGTGTTTTGAAATTGTCGTGTGTTGTGTTGAGTCACACAATCTGTCTTGAAAAACCTGTGGAAGTAGAATCTTGGAATAGGAACTGTCGAATTTAATAGCTTTCCAGGCCAAGATCATGACTGTTGCCTTATAATTACTAGTCGTGGAATCTCGGTGTGCTGAGGTCTTGTCCTAACTTGAACCGTCGCTCAGTAACTCCAGGCGCCATGTTGGTATTAACTGACTGACTGGCATTTCATGAACCATCTCAAAGATAAAACAAAGTGGTACAGTTAAGGTTCTTGGTTTATAGTCAGTGTATATACAGATGAGCAAATTTTGTTTCTCACTTTGAAGCTAACTTGGTTGCCGCTGGGTCAAGATGATCTCTGCTTACGCTAACACATAATATGTAGGCAATTTGTTTTGTAATATTTAGCAGCAAGTAGCTTCGTTCTTTGCTTACCAAACACTAATGTACATAGGCCAAAAACTTCCTTAATGAATAGGTACTGATCATTCTCAGAGTTAAGGTGTTGGTTTGTATGTATAACTACCCAATTGATTACTGTAAAGAGGGAAGTGCTTAACATGTATGCTTGTAACATACTTATAATAATGCTATTTTTATTTCAGGTGGGCGACTCCTTCAGCTCTGGCTGAAGCCGGTTTCTATTTCCCGTTTAAATCTCCGCCGGATAGGGTGCTTTGTTTTGAATGTTTGGTTAGTTTGGCCTCTTGGGAACCAACTGATGAACCGTGGAGTGAACACATAAGGCATTCTCCATTCTGTACTATGGTATCATCTCCAAATTTAAGGGGTATACCTATCACTTGTAAGCATTTTTTGAGTTTTGGATATCCTGGCCACTGTTCGGTTTTGTTTTTACACAGTTCCGGTTATAATTGATTTGTAAGTCGCTTGCAAACTCCAATATTTAGCAGCGACATAAAAGAATCTCCTGTTCTTGGCACAATATCTAACCGTAATGTAGCTTCATGTATGTAGTAATCACCTTTTGATAAATCGGTCTTACAAGGTTTCGTATTTGAACAATCCTACATTCTCAGTGATTCATTCCACTCTTCGTCTACGTTTCTTCCAGCTGACAAACCGTAAATTTAATAGCTGCATAAAGTCATTTCATCTTGCAAATGCGTTGCATGTATGTATTTAAATAGTTGCATGATAATTTTCTAATTCTGTTCTTGAGAAGTATTTTTATCAATTATCTAGTTCCATATGATACTAAAGGAGTTTAAAGGTTAATTTTTATGGTAAGCATACATGTTTTTCGGATCATTCACTCCTGAAGTTCCACATTGTTTTTATTGGCCTGAGTGTCGTTGAGATTCATAGTTCTTTTCAAATGTACTGTGCGGAAAGTGTTTAGGACATCGATGTGAAAAGAAATGTGATGATACGCTTGAAAAGACCATCCACAAAGAATATATGAACTGAAAAATACCTTAACTACAACAGCTTCCGTCCTGTCAGCTATAAGCATCAACTGGTAAAAACACTTTACACTAGAGCTAGAAAATTACTTTCTGAGAACAATTTCGAGGTGAAATTTAACATCATTGAATAATGTCTTAGAGATAATGGATACCATAAGAGGTTTATCGTGAGATTCAGAAAAGAAATGTTCTCTGAATCAATTCGAACTTGATAAATGTCCTGCTCATATCACTCCTAGCTGTATTTCTGAAGTTATATACACTTGCAGCAGCAATTCCATTGAAAGAACTCAGAGGATAGCATCTGCTCAGTTTTCAGAATATTCTGAAGAATTTTCGCTTAAAAGAAAGCAAAATTCTAACCAGTGCAATAAACAGACATTTCGTGGATGGAGGATATCAAGTTGATACTTGTGGTGCTTTTAAAATAGTAAATGCACAGAAAATGCTTGGACTACTACGCTTCGCGGAAGCGATTGCTGTAGAACGCTTCCAACAAGACCTGTGCATATAAAAGAGTGTGATCAGTGTCTCATATCCGTGGTGACTGTAATTTGATCCTGGTTCATTATACTTACACAATTCTTTATTTTAGTGATGTACTGGTTTCAGCCTACTTGGTTGTTCTCAGCTTTATAGATATCATTTCTTTACGCGTTACGCAATGCATTTACTAGTGTTAGTTCCTCTTTCTGTTATATTTCTTACCTCTTCTGTACTATTTTCGAACTTTCTGTCGCGTAGCTTATAAGTTAGGGATGTTTTTGATATGAAACTTATGACTTTTGGTCTTTTCATTGAGTTGTACTCCCCAATTTTACAAACCTCATGTGTTGTCATAAAATAGTTTTAGGTGGGTGATTATATAGTCTTGTTTTAATGAATATTATGATTTAAGACTATGTGCAACCGATGAACATGCGGGAAGTAAAGTTACCCTTTTATGCTACAAATTTAATCCTTCTTGCTTGATCCAAACGTATCAAGAAAACGGAGGCATCAAGAAATTTTAGATTCGTTATCAGCAATCAGTTAGTCGGTTATATCGTTCTTGTAAGTGCTATCGACTCACCTGTGCCACGTCACATCATCCTGTTCTGTAAATATTGAGGAATAAAAACGGTTTCACAACAGCCGACGTTTTGTGTAGTGATAATAAGGATTGGTGAGTAACAAAAGCTAAGGGAATCAGAAATACATAATGTATTTGGAGTTTGAGGAGGCTAAACTGAAAGAATGGACACAGTCAATTTGTTGTCAAAAGGAACGGTAGGTAATCAGTTTTCATGGGGAATGTTTGAGAAGATCGATGAGATACCTTCATGAATAACTCATTGGCTACTCTTAAAGTTGACACCTTGATGAGAGTACATCAATCAGATGCTCACGTTTTGTCAAATTGTGGAACTGTAGCTAACATTTATCATGTTTCTGAACATGAGCGTGGAATTCGACTGTCGACTGAGAAGTTTTGTGGCGGTGTCTGACTGAAGTGAGTGCCGAGCTGGCATGTAACGCTAATCAAAGCTCTTTACTCAAACTCACGTAGCCGTGTAGGGACTTATTGAGAGTTGTCATCTGAATTGATGACAACTAATGGAATCCACGAGTGATGCTTACTGTCACTGTTGCTGTTTAACTCTCTAGATAGGGTTCGAGAGACCACACAACTCAGTGGTTTAAGACGTTATCAGATATGCCTCAGAATCGAAACCGGTGGTGATCATGCTGTAGCTTCCTTCTTTCTTCTACTTATGAAAGGTAGTGAATGTTTTGTTTTAAATGTATCTTAATGGACTGCCTTTCTAATCATTCTGTTGTTATTGTGTTTTTCTTTTTATCCACTTCCCTTCGCTTTATGTCTTCACTGTATTATCATACTATTTTGTGTGGCGCATTTCTTGGTGCCTATGTTTGCATAATGATAATGCAGACAGTATTGTCCTGCTAGATGAAAATGCTAAAAAAATGCAGGGTCTTCTGAATGGATTGAGCAGAGATCGGAGTGTGTTTGGCATGCCTCTTACATCTTCTCCAGCCTGTCACTCTGCGACCATTACCGAGAATCAAAGCCATCGAAACCTCATTCCTAGTCTTCTAAGACCCTGCCATCGATTTCACGTAGGAGTTTTCAACGTCCAAACTGTATGCCAAACCGGACAGCAAGCATCGCCCGCCAAAACTCTAAAATCTCTAGCCATTAATGTATGCTGTCTGTGAGATACGTATACAGGACCTGAGTGTGGTTAATAAATTGACCTCACCTGGCCATAGTAGTGAATGTTCAGAATTCACCTTAAGAGAACCCAGAGACGTAATAACTAGCTCTTGCAGATTCACTGGTGGTAGGTATAGCATTAAGTTGGGGAGCAGAAAGTGCGCTTCTCGACTGGATACCAGTAAACAGCGGCCTATTTACTGTTCGACTGAATTGGTCTGTGAGGACTAGGAAGGATCATAAGACTAGGCGATGCCCATTCGTCATCTCCGCCCACGCACTCACCGACTGTAGTTCGAATGATGCAAAGGATAAGTTCTATGAGAAGCTGCCAATTTCGCTACAGAAAGCAAAGCATTCAAAAGTAGTCATAATTGCAGGTGACTTTAACGCTCAAGTAGGAGAGCTTAGCTGAAGCAGTCAGAAAGGAATCTTCGGGTTGTTACGGAAGCTCATGCCAACGAATTGACAACGGTGATCGTCCGTTGCTATTTTGTTCCAACAATCACTTGTTTCTCGGTAGCACTAGGCATGGGGGGGAGACACTGTTTCATATAACGTTCACCGACTTCAAACCAACAAGGGACACAGATAAATCATATTGTTGCAGGCCATTGTTGGAGAGGATCGGTGGAGCATTGCCGCGCTTTCTGAAGTACCAGTTTGGACTCCGATCACACGTTAGTATGGGCTCTTGTATAGCTGAGCCTTACTGGTCGCAGGAAACGGGCATTAGTAAACCCTTTCTGTGCTCGATTGGAACGTGAAAACTCCAGGTACGTATTTAAATAAGAGATAGGTAAGGATTTATCTGAACATGGTATCAATGCTCATTTTAAGAAAATCTGGCGTGATATTAAGTCTGCTGTAGAAACGACGGTAAAAACAGTTGGTAACATACCCAAAGGTTAGCAAATGTCATTGAATTTCCGCGACGTTTTACTAACTGATTGGTACTAAAAGGGTGGTTCCAACTGGCTCTGACCACGATGAAGAGCCAAAAAAAGTCAAACGTAAATTGATCAAGAGTCTTCGCAATGGTCGCGGGCAGTGGTGGTCGGTGAGAGCGAGAGAGATAGAGAAGGCATCAGCGTTGGGTAACACTTGTCAACTTCTCAGCCTTACTTGGGTTACTGGCAGGAAGAAGACGATGGTGAGCGAAACCATCACCGGAAAGGATGGGATGCCTATAACGTCTCAGGACAGGTGGCTAGAACGTTGGGCAGGAAACTCTGAAGCTCAGTTCAACTGGCCCACATGAATGCTTCAGTTGCCTACCATCCAGCCTGAACCTGAATGTCACGTAGATGTCTGTCCTCCAGTTGTTCTTTAAGTTGAGAATACTGTCTCTAACGTGAAACGATGCACAGACCTAGGATCTGGTAGTTCGCCGCCTAAAGTGTTCAAGGATGGAAGTCGGAAATTGCTGATTAGAGTGACCGGTGCTAGGTGGTGTAGGGGAATCAGAAGTAGTGCTGCCAGACTGGTGTGCTTCTCTGATCATTCCAGTCTATAAGAAGAGAGAGAAATTTTTTGACAACCACGGAGTAATTACCTTGACTTGTATGTTGTCCAAGATCTTAGAGTCTATGGTTATCCGATGCCCAACTGGAGCTCAAGAGCAGCAAACCCTCCAACAGGCTCTGGAACACAGGCACACCTACCTACCAACGACTGTCACTTGCCATATCTCTTGACATGAAGGCGACCTTTAACTTTGTCGACCGTAAAGTGTTATGGTAGCGTCTGACTGAAGGGAGTATCGAGCAAGTGTATGATGCTAGTCAAAGCTTTCTACTCGAACTCACACAACCGTGTCAAGGCCTATTGAGAGTTGTCATCAAAATGAACGACAACGAGTGTTATCCGCCAGCGAAGCCCACTGTCACCGTTTCTATTTAACTTCGTTATTGACGGACTAATGGATGAACTATTAGGTATGTCTGACTTCACAAGAATCTGCCTACTCCGTGGAGGTCATCTAACTGACTTGGAGTGTACAGATGATATTTTCCTGCTAGATGGAAACGCTGACAAAATGCAGGGTCTTCTGGATACGTTGAGCGGAAATATGAGTGTATAACGTGTGTTTTACATTGTTAAATGTCAGATGATGCTCCTGGACTGTTCTGGTGCAAGTACCCCCAGTTTAATGACAGGGAGTGAAGTGGCTGGATACGTGGATCACTTCACTTACTTAGAGAATTGCATCAGCGTGATGGGGCTGGTTTCTGATGAAATTTTAGCTCTGATACGGAATGCTCGCTTGGCATCTATGCCGCTGACTGGTGAGATATCTGACTATCTATCAAAGGACGAGTATACTACTACTACTACTACATTTCCTTCTGTCCTGTTGTACGACTGCGAGAAATGGCCATTGAAAGTAGACGCAATGAGGTGGTTACAGGATTTTTACCATAGGTGTCTTCGTAGCACTCCTTGTGTATTGTAGAATCACCATGTGAGCAATGCTGAAGTCAAGCGAAGGGTAATAGTCTAGATAGGTAAGTCAATTGATGCGGCTGTGAACCTTCAGTGATTGAGGTGACCTGGAAATTTGTTCTGCATGCCGATCCACCGTCTACATCGACGTGAAGTGTTAGCTGAGGTAGGATCGGGTTTGAAGAAGGCTAGGTGTGACATCGGTTCATAAAGTTTCTGCTCGTTGGTCTGAGCTCTATGCGAAGGTGTAGACCACTTGAGTAGAGTCCTCAACTTGGTCGAAATCAATGATTGGAGACTCTTGTTGACATGACTGGAAATCGGTTACATCTAAAGCTTGAAGATTTTCACTAACCTTTCTCCTTTTATACACTTCCGATAATTTCAATATCAGTGTTTGTCTATCCATTTGTTCTTTGGATGTTGCTATGAAGTGTGTGGTAATGTGATCCGGTACATTGGTGTTCAAGCTTCTACTTCTATTTTGTCTATCTGTTTATCATCAGTTGCGTATCATTCACTCATGATTCAAGTGTAACAGGATAGGGCTTCAGGATTTTCCGAATCTACAGTTGGATAAAGCAGGTAATCCCAAAAACTGCCTCTAAATATCTTTAAGAGTAATAGTGTACAACTGGCTAGATTAACAGGTTTATGAGTTGATGTATGATAAACAGCCTTGTTTTTTCATCAGTGATTCAACAGGTTTGTAGAACAAGACATTAATTATGTGATTACCGTAAAAAAGATTAACTGGACTTATATGATTTCCTGAGTTTTGTGAACGACAGTTACTTTGATTAAAACTGATTTTTACTTTGCTAAGTTCTAGAGCACAAACATTTATTGTACTGCATCCTAACCTTGCATTTTAATCTAAAAGTTCTATTTTAATGCATCGATCAAGATTTTTTACAGTATCTTACACTGAAATTGGTAGGTGGCATTTGTATTACTTTTGAAATAGCTCTGTACACATTAATTCATCGTTATGTTGAAGCGGATTTTCACCTTGAGTAGAGATGTCTGTGGGAGTTTTTCAAATATATCTTTTTTTATCCATTTCCCAAAGCTCTTTTTCTAGAAGTACTTTCACTGGTATTACTTTCATGACTTCCAAAAGATTATCTTCTCGTTTAGATATTCACTGGCTGGCTTAAAGTATCCAAACTGAGTATTGTTGTTTGATGAGAGGGCCGACTATTTATTATTATGAAAACTGAATCAAAATATAAGAGCTTTTGGCATACTTTCCTCGTGAACTGTGGAATATAACTTCAAGACTCATCTGTCTTAATATAATATTGTTTTCACCTGAAAAGATACATCCGTTTCTGTGAGTTATTACCTGATAAGATCTCGGTAAAGATACAACAGAAGTCCTTAGTTGAAAACTGTTGATGTGAATTAAAACTAATTGCAATGACTCATTAGTTAGCCTCGATTAGTTATTTTGCTGTAAGCAAAGGAGATCTTCTCTGTATGTTTCTATTCTCTAGGTTGTGTTTTCTTTTCTTTTTCTACCTCTTTATTCCTATCACTATCACTTTCACGTGTTTTTGTTGGTTTCTTCTCGTTATACTGTTAGTAGGATGTGAAATCTTGATTAATACTTGTGTGGCAGATACTACATACCATTTTTACAGTTGACTGAATTTAAAAAGTCCTCCACGAAACTTTCAGATGTGAATTCAAAGGAGTTCAACTATTACTAAGAAAATGTAGTTTAGTATACAATGTCCTGGTTTATTCTACTGTTGTTTTTTCACATAATGTGGAAGGTATATAAAGACAATATACCACCATTTTCATTGGTACAATGGACAAATAAAAAGCAACAATATCAAACTAAAGTACGCGTTTCATCCCATTTGGGACCCATCAGCTGGATATTTCTGGACCTCAGTGAATGATATCTTTCCCGCTGAGATTCGAACCCAGTACCCACCGCTCCAGAAAACAAAGAATTATCCATTGAGCCACCATTTGTGCAACGGATATTGGTTGTTGTTTTTGATACTTATAATTTCCCGTTGCTACACAGGGTCGAATTGCTTAACCTCTGTACCAAAAATAACAAATGATAATTAAAGGGAACAACGTCATTCACTGAGGAGGTAGGTACACCCAGCTGACGAGTCCCAAATAAGGCGAAACATACATCCTGGGTTCCACTGCTAACAACCACCAAGCAGGCATCATTATATTGAGTAGGCAGACAGTATTGAGGCATCAGCATAGGAACCCATCTGCCAACAGCAGACGTCAAGCAATTCGACCTTGTATAGCAACGAGAAAATACAACTATCAAAATCACCAAACTACTGGTTTGGTTTGCATACAATCATGAAATTCACACTTAACTAACCAATATATCTCATGATTTCATACTTGGGTGGTTTGTTTTGTTAAATGATCCAAAGGAAGAAAATAAGAGTTATAGTTTATACTGTACGATTTAGTTGTCTGATAACTGTATCCGCTTTATTTCTATCTTGCTTACAATCACTTTTAATGTGTTACATTAAAAATGAATATTTTATATGTATTATGCTTTTCAGTTTCATGGGCAACAGAAACTGCGCAAACTCAAACAATTTCCAGTGATCCTGTAGGTTTAACTTGTTTTCAAATCTCGTTGATAATGCTTTTTGAATGCTTTTATGAATATTATTATGTTCGATAATGATATTCATTAGTTGAATTCATTGCTAGGATGTTTACACTTGTGGAAATGTCCACTTTGGTTGTAATACTATTATGGTACTTGTAATTTCCCGTCGCTATATAGGGCGGAGTCGATCGATCCCTGTTGTTAATAGATGGGCTCCTATTCGAATACCTTGATATTCCTGGATGTTTATGATATTATATTGATCTTGGTGATTAGCAGAGGAATCCAAGACGCACGTTTCGTTCCATTTCGTACTCGTCAACAGGATGTATTTGCATCCCAGTGAGTGATGTTGTTCCCACTGAGTTGCAGGTACATCTAGCTGTAAATACTTTAAAGCGCTTAGAGTAAGTCATTAGCTTCTGACTGGTTCAGATACTTCGTCTTCGCGGTAGTAAATTGTTATCCTTTCCTCTTAATGATGCCGTTTGAACTAATCAGACCATTTGACTTGTTGATTGTTACGTTTAAAATAAAAAACTTTTTCAGTTGATAGTTAATATAACTTATGTTTTCCCTTGTAACCTATTGTAACACTTAGATTACGGTGCTTATGACAACTACTTCAAAAGATTTTACTGCAACTTCTACGCTTAACGGTGGAATCACCATATGGGATCTGTCATATTTTAATAGAGTAAGTTAACTCATTTCCTATCAATGATAGCGTTGTTTCAGAAGTCTAATAATGATAATAATAATGGTAAAAGTAATAATAATAATAATAATAATACTGGTTTCTTTATTCCAAACAATATGTATGACAGTATGGAATTCCCAGCATGTAATTCTTCAACAAATTCACTCCCACAACAATACTTTCAGACGACATGGTTATTGCATCGGAATGATGTCAATAATAACAGTATTCAAGGCAATAAGGTGAAATAGCCAGTTAGTTCTGGATGGGAGGCTGGTCCATAATGAAGAATCAACAGAAAGAAATACAAGTGTAATTTCGATGGTGGTGGTGGTGGTGGTTCATTCAGACAGTACAAAAATCTGCAACTCAAGCTAAGCACCTGACGGATAGAAATATAATGTACTTTCTGCACCGAAAAGTCCATTTCCATACAACTTAAGATGTTTTCCCTGTTTTGTTATTGACTCGAGAAAGGGGAGTTGGAAATAGTTTAAAAATGTGCTAGAGTATATGATACGTTCGAAGTATATATTGAAATGATTAAGGCAGATTGAAAAGAAAGAATTTGATGAAAAATGTTTGATGGATAAATTTGGTAGCTCAAGGTTCAAGCAGGCCACTTATTAGTTTCAAGAAGCATTTGGCATAATTGATTATATATTAGCAAGTGTCCTGTCTACCCCAATCAGAGGTTAGTGGACTTCCTCAGGTAAAGGGTTATGATAACAACAATGAGACAGATAAACAGAAAAAGTCAAGGTAGAACTTTACACAAAAATGAATCCATTCCCGTTCCTACACTTCACAGTAGCCTAAAAAGAACAAGTCGATATACGATTCCAATGGTTCTTGCAGTTGTAGTTTTTTACAATACTTTATACGGTAATTTTACCGAATGCGATCATTTCCCAGATACTGGGTGGGGATTAAAGGTGAAAGGAGAATTTTGGCCTCGACAGGATTCGAACCAGCGGCTATCGTCATCATCATCATCATCGATATCAATATAGGACCTGGAATTACTGCGTAACAGTCAGAGTTGCCACAGCTCATATCAGTACATCAAGTAAAAAGTCAGTGAAGTGGAAGATGAAGTAAAGAAAATTCAGTCGAAAGAAATATAAAGTACTAAAAGAGAGAAACGGGGAATGAGAAAGTGGTGAGATTCGATGTAGCGTTAAGATGAGGATAATGTGTAAATACATCTGCGCCACTGATATGGGTTCTGATCCATATCCCCTAGAGTCTCCAACCACTGGTTCCTCTTGTCCCGCGGACCTCAACCACATAGTCTGCATCACCCCACATGGCTCAAACCAACAGTCAGAGACTTCATGCATTGGTACCATGTTTTAGTCTGGCCACCTCAGACCTTTTTGCAGCCTGAACCTACTTCGGCCAACATTGTGTGACGAAGCAGACCGTGGTTAGACATACGTAACACATGTCCCAACCGTGTCAACTGATTTACCTTTTCTCGCTAAAACTGTACACCTGACTTCTGTGTTACTCACGTGGTGACACCACAGAATACGGCCTATACTTCGAAGGCAACGGTGGTCAAACACTTAAAACCTTCTCATGTCTTCCACCTTCAATGGCCATGTTTCACAACCATACAGTAGAACAGACCAGACTGCTGTGAAGGTGTAGTACACGTAACTCTTAATAGACAATCGGATATCATGGCGGTGCCACAGGTGGTGTATATTGGAGAAAGCCAACCGAGCCTTTTGTATTCGTGCCGAAACTTCATGGGACACTGAGCCACTAGGGCTGATCCGACTATCTAGGTAAGTGAAGCGGTCAACACGCTCAACCACTATATTCTCTATCGTTAGCCGAGGCACTGTTGAAGACCAAGCCTGGAGCAGCAGTTTGCATTTGGGTGGTGAGAACCGCATCCCAAACATTCTCAAATTGCCACTCAGTGTTTAGAAGACTCTGCATCTTGTCAGCATCTTCATCTAACAGGACTATGTCATCTGCATATTCTAGGTCTAGCGAAAATTCTCCTGCGATTAGGTCAACCTCTATGTAGTTAGGTGACGAGCTGGAGGGTGACCATCGAGTTTCCGGTTGGGTGATTTACCAACTAAACTACAAGACCCGATTGCTATTTAAATGCATGACGCGTTACTATAACTTGATCGTGCTCTACAACTGGCTAATCAGTCAGGACTTCTCATCTAAATCTAAATCTGCTTGAAATCTATACATACTCATATGGCAGTCGGACAAGACCCTTGGTGATTGAAGTGAAATAGAAGTCTGGTCAGCAATCGGGTCTCCTAGTTTATTTAGTAGACATTGTTGTGGAGTGGAGGTGAAATTCAGTGACCATTAGTTCGAATCTTACCGTGGCCCTAATTTTCATTTCACCTTCAATCATCGCTCAATACAAGTCTGCCAAACCACGGCTATCTCAGATAGCCAAACTTATTGTCTTCTACATAGTTGAACGCATTCTCTAGGCTGATTCACGCTAATTCAGGATATTAAGAGAGAGGGAAGTAGTAAGTGAAGATAAAATTGTTGGAGATGATATAATGAATACATCTCCATCCCTGTGATCGATTTTTATCCATGTCATAAAGAATGCTTTATATCCTGATGATCCGTCGATATAGTCTACCCTTTCGTGGGTGGTTGAAGTTAGCAATCAGGGACTTCGTGGGTCGTTGCCACTTTTATGCTCCAACGACCCTTTCTTCTACGTTAGTCATACTTCACCGAGTATTATGTGTTACTGTGGGGGTAGTTTTACATGTACAACACATTTCTCGGCTATCTCAGTTAGTATGGTTCTCATCCTCACTAACCGTCATTTTTCAAGTCTGAATAACTTTCCGGTGTTATCGTGTACTTATTTCTACTCCATCTCTGCTACTTCTCAAGGTTATTGCCTAAACTCTCAATCAGCGTATGTCTGTATCTGCCTCCTGTCTGTGTGATATTTCTAATAAACAGACTAAAATGGAATTACAGTGGAACACAGTGCCCATGTTTTAATCTTATATTAGTGAAACACATGGTCTTCCTGTTCGAAGACTAATCAACAAACTCACACGACTTTCACAGACAGAAGGCAGATACACGAACCACCGTATATTCAATATTCCATGTCTCAAATCAAATCATTCCTAAATATCTACATCTACGTGCACCAATTCCAGACCAAATCAAACCAACCAGCTATAGAACGTACCAGTTAACTCTGTCTTTAAGAAGAAATCCATAGTATAGTCAAAAAGTTGCACAACATCAGGAATTATATCGAAGATCTTAAGTGTAAGCTAATGCAAACAGTTAGTGAAAAAGATTACGAGGTTCTGATGGACAATTTCAATAAAGCAAGATCAGCTGCATTCAAGAAATCCAAAAATACTCAGATTAAGAAGTTCAGCAAACTTATGAAAGAAAAGTATGCCAATCAACAATAATGAAATTAACAGTAGCATATCATTAATGATCAATAAGTTACAGTGGGTTGTCATTCTCTCTCTCTCTCTCTCTCCCTCTCTCTCTCCTAAGCACAACAGAGATGAAAGTGCTAGAGAAAGACCTTAACTTCAGTGTACCGGTTAATGGATTGAAACCAGAAGATATCATTCCCAAAGATATCATTCAATAGATAAGACAATTGCGGACGAGCACACTGTGTTCTAACACTGAAACAACAGAATAAAATGAAATCTAATTTACCCAAACCAGAAAGAAAAGCTCTCAGGAATCTCCAAAACGATCACAATATAGTAGTTGGCAAATTGGATAAAGGCAACTCAGCAGTTGCAATGAACAAATCTGACTACACATGCAAAGTTAATAAGCATATAGAAACAGGAGTAGATGGAGAAATTAAGAAATCAGTGGATACTATTATGATTAGGGTTAAGAAATCAACAGGGAATCTGATACACTGGATGAAATCGTTTCTAGCTGAGTCTAAATGGTTTAATTTAATGCCAAAAACTAATAATCCCAGTAGAATATATGGTACTGTTAAGATTCATAAGCCAGGTTGTCCCATCAGGTCTATAGTAGATTTTAGAAACATTTCACTTTAACAACAGAGTTTTGACCAATCACATATTGCTAGCTGTCACAACAAGCTTGACTCATTTGCTAGTAGATCAGCCTAAATGTGATTACCAGAGTGAATGTTTATTTATTGTTTTCATCTTCAAAATGATCATAGAAGCAGTTTCTAGATGCATATTTCATGTACTTATGGAATGGTCTTTACACTGTATTCACACTATGTGTCGTACGTACTTGACAGCGGCCTGGATGAACCTTGAGCTACCAAATTTATCCATCAAACATTTTTCATCAAATTCTTTCTTTTCAATCTGCCTTAATCATTTCAATATATACTTCGAACGTATCATATACTCTAGCACATTTTTAAACTATTTCCAACTCCCCCTTTCTCGAGTCAATAACAAAACAGGGAAAACATCTTAAGTTGTATGGAAATGGACTTTTCGGTGCAGAAAGTACATTATATTTCTATCCGTCAGGTGCTTAGCTTGAGTTGCAGATTTTTGTACTGTCTGAATGAACCACCACCACCACCACCATCAAAATTACACTTGTATTTCTTTCTGTTGATTCTTCATTATGGACCAGCCTCCCATCCAGAACTAACTGGCTATTTCACCTTATTGCCTTGAATACTGTTATTATTGACATCATTCCGATGCAATAACCATGTCGTCTGAAAGTATTGTTGTGGGAGTGAATTTGTTGAAGAATTACATGCTGGGAATTCCATACTGTCATACGTATTTAGTGTTATTGCAATGACACTAAACCTATACCCATTGCACAAGTAGTGGCTGTCGTGGCTCGGTGGTGTAGTGGTTAACGCTCTCGCTTTTGAAGCGGTCGTTCCCTAGTCCCGGTGGGAATAACATCATTCACTGGGAGCCAGGTACATTCAGCTGACGAGTCCCAAACAGGACGAAGTGCCCATCCTGGATTCCACTGCTAGCCACTGCTCATCATTACGGTGTCATACATATTGTTTGGAACAAAGCGACTATTATTGTTATCACTGTTATTATTATTATTATTATCATTATGTATTCTATAACTTTTCATAAATAGTTGATCTATAACTTTTATTTTATTATGAATTCAGTGTTCGCACGCTTGTTCTCTAATATCCTAATTAACTTTCCAATTTTTAAATAACTCAATATTCCTGTAATTCATTTGACAGCGTACTTTGGAATTCAATCTTGTCGATGTGATAAATGCTTGTATGTCTGCCGACACCAAAGGTACGTGTTGATGTAATTTAAAATTGTCTAAAAAATATGTATATATGCATGTAAGCCGAAAGTTAAAAATACGACATGCGAAATTGAAGTCTTGTCATTTAGCTGGTTGAACCTCATACTGTCGAAACGGTCGAATTTTGTTGTAATCATGGTCTTTATTTCGCTTTCAATCGTTACTCCGCATTATTTGTTTATTTACTGTTTAAATTATCTGGTGAATTTTTTTTATTATCAACTTAATTTTCCTTTATCTTCTACAGAAGAACATGTTAGCGATTGGTTCTCTTCAGTATCTTTTACTGAAATCCACTAGTAATATAACTCAGCGATCATATGCTGGTTTAGTAACTGATCGCTGATGATACTTGTTAGTCGCTCACAAGTCAGTAGGTGTAGTGGAATTGGAATCCGTGGTCAGTTGGTTGAAACTCAACCTTCTTGACTAATTGATGAGTTATAGTTCGAACTGCAGAAATAAAATACTTATAATCATTTTGACTGTTTGGCAGACTAGTATTTATAACGGGTGGTGATTGAAGGTGAAATGAAAATTTGGACTGCGGTCGGACTCAAACCGCCGACCATCAGGTTACCTGCCCGACCCTCTATTAATGGAGCTACGATGCCTACATCATTTTGGTAGAGCATCTGGCTGAAAGCGTGATGGTTGCTGGTTCAAAACCGACCGCGGTCCACACTTTTATTTCACCTTCAATCAGAAATACTTAAGGATCATTTCTACAAACTACTTCATATGATCAATCTTATAATCAGAAATACTATTGGATTTTAGTGATTCATGCAATTCAGGCGCCTAATTCCAGTTTCTAGACTCAGTTATGAACCATATTCGATATATGAAAGCTAGTGAAATAGCCTAGCAGGTGGATAGACAAAATCGGCAAAAAGCAGTGCATAGAAGTCCATCGGTTCAATTTACCCACACTTCATAGCAGAATACAATGAATGAGACGGTTGAAGAATAGTGGTAGTGAAGTAGACAAAAGTGTATTGGAATGCAGAGAGGATTAAAAAGCTGAAGGTGATTAAAAATATCGAAACGAACACATTTGATCATAGGAAAAGAAAAAAGACGATTACAGTGAAGAAAGGTTTTTTGTTCTAACTAACTCATCCTCATATTTGTACATTCATGATTAGGTACTAGAAAGGATAGAACATTTTGGTTGTATTGTGTTCTCTGAGCTGGTTTGTTTAGTCGTGAAGCTTTCATCGTCTTGCTAGACGACATCAGCACTAACTTCAGTATGAAGTGAGTTGTCAATATCTTTCCGTGAATGATTTAGTGACTTGCTCTGACGATGTGGTCTATGATTGGTTGTTTCCTTCGTTTGTTGTGTCATTGATTGTATAGACTATCCTGTTGGCTGTTCCGCTGCTTGACCTCTGACCTTTCTGTCATTTATCATTTTGTCTTATTGGTTGATAGGTTGGGTCTATGTCTATACATCTATTGACTGCTGGCTGACTGACCTGAATGCCAAGCTTCTACGAACCCTGACATTCGTTGTTTCCTCTCTTCGTCCAGAATTTCCACATTGTCGAAATTGAATTCATGTCCATAATTATCCACGGGCATTGAAATGAGTGACGAAATGTCGTGGCGTTTAATAGCCAATTGGTGCTCATGTAGACGAAGGCGAAGAGCGCGGCCACTTTGTCCAATGTAGTGTTGACTACAGTTATTGCAGTTGGTTTTGTAAATGATACTCAGTTTGTCTTCTTTGCTTGTTGCATCCTTCGATCTACATAATAGTGTTTAGAAGGAATTTGTTGGTTTATGATCCACACCAATTGCAAGTGCTCTCAGCAATCTTGTCGTGATTTCTGATATGTTCTTTATGTATGGTAGGACGGTGCATTTGTTGATTTCTATCGATGACTTTGTTGTTGACAGAACATTCCGGAGAGGTCAAAATTAACTGCATAGCCTCAAGGAAAGTTACTCGATGTCTATGGTCCTTTAAAAAGTAGAATTTAAAAAAGTACAAAACAAAATAAAGTTACGTCATAAGGGAGTTATCTAAACTGATCAATCAATTATGATGATTGTAACAAAGAAAGGTTGTGCCTACTTCTTATGAACACAGAATAAAGCTTTGAACTTTTGAATTGCTAATGCTTCAGCTATACTCATATGTCTTAGCCTTAATCTATTCGTGTAGTTTGATCGTAGTGTATACGAAATTTTGAAGGATTTATCAAAAGCAACCAAGTATCATGAGTTTACTTGATAGTCTGTTCCCGAGTTGAAAATGCCTTTCCGTTCTCTTTTTGTTTGTCAGTCTGGATAGTGTTTACAAACATATTTCACAGGCTGATGCATGTTTCAGCCTATGTACTCAGCATCTCAGGAACAAGTAAAGTGATACGTGCCTTAATATGCTTCAATACTTCAGCTTATCCTTGATGTACTGATGAACGAGTGTTTACTAAGAGAATATGATTTCACGATCAGTGGTAAAAATTATTTACTTTTATGAATCCTGATATTTACTTTTTAAGAATATCTGCCGCAATATCATCCCCGTTGAATATGAGGTTCATTAATAAAATCTTTTTCAGGGCACATTGTTTTTAAGCATTCTATGCTGCCTTTCAGCTTGGAATTCTTATCTTGAAATTTAGGCGGGTATTCATTTTTCGTATTCTTGAGAAAAATAAATTGTTTAATAAAATTCATTTTTCTGCTTAAGGGAATACAACTTTAAAAATTAAGAAACATTCAGTTCCAAATGAACTCTGAGAAATAGACTTTAGAGTTGAGTTTTCATTGTTTTTTTTGGAATTGGATATCAAGGATGTTGAATTCTAAGTTTGATTCTGTTACTAGAGTGAAGTTGATGAAAGGATGTGAAAACTAGTGAAAGTTTGAAGTAGGCTTTTGAGATTAGTATTCTCTTCACAAATAATACAGTTATCATCCTCTGTAGATATGAAGCTCTGTAATTATTGTTGACAAGGTTGTATTTTCTAGGATTGCCGTAAAGCAATCAACTAGAACGAGTCCTTGAGACAGTTCCATTACCATGCCATTTATCTATCTGCAGATCCCGTCGTTATATCTGAAGTGTACGTCGAAAGTGCATCTACGAGGAAGTTCCCTTGAATAGTGATTTAAAATACTAATGTTTATACTATGAAATTGTATAAAGTCACATACAAAACAAATAGTTTCTGTCAGTGGGGCATTTATAAATTAGGAGACAATATCCAGAAAAAATCATCCTCTTCCTTGACAAATGAACGAAGTGAAATGTGTTTCAAAATTTCACTCTTTAATGGTTTAAGTTTCTTGACTAGCTACTTTGTGATTAAATGGTAAGAAGAATTAATAATGTCTAATATTGGATGAAGGTGAACACCTTTGTACCTTTCGGATAGATCATATAATCGACGGATTGAAAAACCTAATGGGCGAATTTGTTCATAGAATTCAGTGCTTCATCTTTATTTTTCTCTAAATGTCTTGGACAACTGACACCATTTTTTTCAGTAGGGTTTTTCTAAACGGTCTATTTTGAAAATTTGTTCCTCTCAGATAAAGTGAGTGAAGCACTATCTCATCACCTTTATCACGGTATACCATGACTAAGTTTTCATTTTTCTGTAGTTTTTTTAATTAATTTCTATGTTTTGTCAGTAAGAGATGTCCAGTATTGAATTTTGTATTTATGCAGTCCATACAACAATTTAAAACAGTTGATTTGAAATGGTCACTATCTTTAGATGAGATCTGAACTAGGTTTTTGTTTCATGAATTCGATTCTTGAACTGTATGTTTGTGTCAAGCTCATCATTTTTTGATTTTTTTTCACAGAGTTTTAGACTAAGCTACTCTTCTAGATCAGCAAATGTGAATTTATTAAGATAAACCACCTAGTAGGCATTGTACGTGATGTAATTATTCGTATTGTTGCGTCACTGAACTATACTACTTAAAACGTAACCACGTGGTTTGACGCACGCGGGGGAATTCTCATAAGCCCGTCACACTACTCACTAAAATCACTTGACAAGCCTGGAAGTGTGATTTTTTAGCAAGCTGCAAATCTCCACATTAAGTAGTAAAGAAAAAGTTGTGATAGCAAAAAACATTTTGTAGAGATTATGATTGTGTCATCTGAAGTCAGATTATTACCAACGGTTGTCATAAAGGAATGGATCTGAGTTTCTAGGTTTTTGCCTGCCTATGTATTTCAACCCAATAATCTCTCAGTACTGACCCAACTTTATTGATTGTTAAAACCAAAGGTTTTACCATTTTTTTTATCCAGATGGTTATAAACCTCACACATGTTATGGTTATTTAGACAAAATCACGAAATAATACTGGATGACAATTGAAGGTGAAATGAAAATCTGGGCCTCAGTAGGGTTTAGACCAGCGACCTCCGGATTACCAACCAGGTGCTCCACCAACCGAGGTACGGGAAATGGCTGCTGATCAGACTCTCTATTATGTTGTATTTTAATCAGTATCACCCTGTAATTATCGATGATCATTTCTGTGTTCCGTTTGCCACTCAGAGTGACAATTATCTCAACTTTCGAACTAGTATACTTTTCGGGTTGATATTCATCATGGGTTGACATCAATTGGAGAGATATTGGAAACCTGGCGGAAATGGACTGGTTTTTCTTCCCATTACGGGAATCCTCAGCACTGCGCACCCATGACCCCGCCAGAGACCGAACGCGAGATCTTCAGGTTCCGTGGCCAGCACGTTACCATTAAGCCACTGGGTCGGAATCCAGTCGTCCATATTTCCTACGTCGGTCACTTCATGATATAGTGTGACCTCCATCCAATTCTTGCAGTAGGCAATCAACCACACCTATTGTATGAGAGTTAGTGATACTACCTAGCTGCCTAAACCTCGGTAGGTGGAGCGGGGATCGAACTCGTGACTCAATGATTGGTAGTTATCTCCATGAACCACTGAGTTACAGTTCCTGTCGCATGGACCTCAACTCAG